ACCAAAAAAAAAAAAAATCTTTCAAATTCGCGAGTATTTGCTTGTTTTTATTTCTAGCAAACAAAATGCACAGATTTTTCAAAAACTTTATTACTGAATTCAAAGATTGAATTCAGAGTAGTTTTTTAAGGGCAAATGACAGAATTTCTGAATCCCAATCACTAAGGTTATGTTTGGTAAACCTAGTTGATAAAGCTAGTTTATAGTTTTCTAGTGAATTTTGAGCTTATAGCTGATAGCTTATGACTTGTGGTTGTAAAATTAGCTGACAAGTTTGCTGAAATGAAACTTTCAACGAACTTATTATTTGAAAAGCTACCCAATAAAGCTTATGAGATAGGCTCAACTTTTTAAAAAAGCTCGTTTTACCATACCAAACTTATTTGAATGCAAGAAGTTTATACAAATAAGCTATAAGCTAGCTTACATGCTCACCAAATATAACTTAAAGAGTCAAATAATGAAGACAAATACAGTCGATAACTAGTTAACAAAAACAAGAAATAACATATTGGATTATCATTCATCACAAGAGAAACATGTATATTTATATATTCGTGAAAAAAATATGGAAAAAAAATATTTCGTTTTTCACCTGAATTGGGCTAGCTGCCATAAGTAAACCTGCTACACCACCACCAATCACCCGGCCATCTGGGCTAGCTAATGACACACTTAATCCTCCACAACGGCTTATCATTCCACCATTATCAGAAATTGTGTAAGAACCCGTTAACGTTAAAATCTCAAATCGACCCTGCATTCGTTCATGTTCAGAGTGTAACAAAAACAAATATAGTAACTAAAAAACAAAAAAACAACATAGCTAAATGCAAATTTGTGTCGTACGAAATGGGCCGTTTTAGGAAAAAAGGTACTTAATTAGCATGATATGAACTGATATAGGGCTGCTTATCTGAAAGTTCATTGCATAACAAGCAAAAGCAGATATATAAGCCAATATAGTTTTTATAAAAACAAAAGGATCATGCCTCGTATGTTAATAAGCCTCCGGACGAGCCTGGCTGACGAAGAGTAACGTTCGAGACAGATCCATTAGCAGATAGAACACAAATTCCTCTGTGATCCTTCTGTGCAAATGTGAGTATCTTCCCAGCAACATCCTGAACAAAATTAAAATAAATAAATTATATAAAATCTTATACGTCCATTAAGATTAGGGAGAGAAAACATCATTTATTTTATTTTTTTATCTTTTTGTTGGAGCTGACTAAAGTTGTGATTTTTTACCTCTCCGGCATGTACAGTTACCACATGGGGTGTGAAGTCACCTCCTGCTGTGTTTGCAAGCAATTCACCTGTACAAGTGAATAGCAAACAAACCATAAAGACTAAATTTTTACAGGGAGATTCTACGGTTCCGTTCGTAACCATTCCGTCGGGGTTTGTAACCGTTATATCAACTATCCACGACGGTTACATGATGATCTAACGGTTACACATCCCGACGAAATGCTTCCGTAACGGGACTGTAGCATTTCCCATTTTTACAATATAATAATAATAATAACAACAATACACAATACACCTGAAAAAAAAAAA